CTTTTTCCCACTTGCCACATTTATTTGCCTTTTGGAGAAGTAAGTGGGCTTTTATCAACTTTTCAGATTGACCTTGCATGAATATGTGCCTCTACAAAATGTTGCTTCTTTTCTCTCATTTTTCCTGCTTCCTTCTGTTCTCTGTCCTTCTTTAAGAAGAACTATTGGGAAGTTCAAAATATTGTATACCTCAAATTAGAGACCACCACTTTCAGATGGCTTCAAAATCCTGTTTTGGATGCAAAGCAGGAAGTTTCTGTCAAAAAGTTATTGAAATAAATTCCTTTTCAATTTCAGAACTGGTAATCCATAAAATTATGTAACTGCAAATAAGTAAGTTAGTTCAGTGTAAATGCATCACTATTACAAATGGAATTCAAAAATGTTTGGTTATTTTTTAGATTCTTATAGTTTATATATTTATGTTTTACTAGCTTCTGTAATGAAGTGATGGACTAATAATACTGTGATGTTATTTCTATATTTCCAATAGACTTCCTTCAACCTGATCACAAAACTTTTCATTATGATTTTGCTACTTTACTGAACATTGGCACACTTGAAGAGATCCTTCAAACAGCTTAGGAGTGCAACTGCTGGTCAATACATTGCAAACATTAAGTGATTTTACAGGAGTAGGTTTAGATACACAGACTATTAATCATATGTGTGAATTAGATTATTCATCATGGTTCAGAGTTCACAAATCACTCAAAAAGAAAATTAATTCCAGCATCAGTGAAATTTGGTCTTTGGTAAAGCAGGAAAAGTGATCATGTATGGACAGCAATATAGCAGAAATAAATTGTAACATCTCACTTTAATTCCTTATGACAATTTATTTGTGACTGCATGTCTAAAATATTTTATCTTTTGTTAGCAATGCAAAGTTAGATAAATCACCACTGATAGTATGTTGGAGATTATTATTTGGTTTTATTGGTTTTAAGCATGAAAATGAGACTAACAACAAAGTCTTTGAGCAGTTACCTACAGTGGTCTATGACATTGCCATGACCAGAGACAAGTCGATCCCATTCTATAATGTGTGTTGGCTCCACCATACAATGTAATTCCATGGATAAAATTTCTCAGAGAAAGTTCTCAGGCAGTAACAGCAAGTCATGTCCATATTTTTTCCCATAAACTTCTGCTAACAGCAGCAGACGCACAAATTCAATTGTATTCTCTTTTAACAAGATCAGAGATAAAGTCCACCAAGCACATCGATTTTTTTTTCTTTTTTTCTTGTGGAAAATACAATGAATTTGTCAACAAAATCTTTTGACATATCTCACCTATTAATGTCTGTACTTCTTATGAGAAATGAATTTTACTGATATTTGTGTAGCATTTGCTGTCTCTCCTTAAGAATTTTTCTGGCTTAGTTAATACAATTCCTGTTGTGAAAAAGCCTTGGCAGTAAAACAGAAAAAAAATCAAGAGCGTAAGAATTAACATCAGCCAATCTGTGCTTCATTTAATTATGTATCTGTGAGCAAGCAGAATGTGCCATTTCAAAGTTCTAATGATGGGATATTTTATGACAGTACTATGCCAGTACTGGCCTCTTTAGGAGATAGGGAGCATCAGAAAGTAGCTCCAGCATCCCGTGGCAGTGTCTGAGCCTTGCCTTCCCAAAGCTTTGTAGACTTGTATATCAAAGGCTGAAAACTACAGCTGGGACCTGCAGAGTGAATACTCATGGAAGCAAATGACACAGGTTGTTTTTATTGTAATTTCTTCATATTCTTTTGGAGTGTGGTAATTTTCACTTTTACATGGAGTTGGAAAAGTTAACTAATGTAACATATTCTGATTATATAAATTTTTGTGAGAAAATAAGGTGTATGTAGTAGTCTGTGCTGGATTAAAACCTAGCTCCCAACCTAATTTCTCACTTGAGAGTAGGCATTTATCATGCTCCACTCCTTTGGGTTTTTTTGTTTGTCTCATTTTTTTTTGTTTGTTTGTTTTTTGTTGTTGTTGCTTGTTTTTTGGTTTTGTTTTTTTTTTTTTTAAATAATCCCAAGGATTGAGTAGCTGCATAATCAGCTCTTCCTTATCCAGAAAAAAAAAATATTGGCAAAGAAATCAAGTGTATTTTTTTTTCTCTCCTCTTACCTAGTTGCTATGTTACAAATTATGGACAAGGTCCATTTTGATCATAAATGCTATAATAACATTCATTGCCAGATCAGAGTAGTAATTCTTGTATCCTGGCACTCTGGCTGCACAGGCACTGACCTCAACAGGCTCATGGTGGAGGAGTTTCTTGTTGGTGGCAAGTACCCCATCAACTACTTTTTGAAAGCAGTGAGAAGAAGCAGGTTTCTTTTTCTTATATATCTCAGAAGTTACAGGATCAGCTTAGGTGCTCTGAGACTTTGAATCAACTAATTGAATTCTTCCTTGGCAGTGTGACAAGTGAAGAAAAGATCAGAAAGTAGAAGTGTTAAGGAGAATGAAGGCACTCTTATTCTGTTAAAATCTGTCCTTGTGGTCTTAGAAATACATTGATGATTATTCTTCTAATCCTGAATATGTTTGGCTTCAGTACTCACCTAAAGATTAATTTCAATAATTGTCTAGAAGCCAATAATTTAAAAGACATAGAAAGTCTGATAAGCCACGGAATAATGAGACAGACTTATTCTTTTAAACAGTATTAGATCAAAGTACATACTTTTAATTATTAATTGCATTAACATATATATGACAATATTAAGTTCTACTAAAAGAACACTCATTGCATGATTTATAAGAAGCTAAATTTCTCTCTCCAGACCATCAACTATTTCAGGGAAGGAAAAAAAAAAAGAAAAGCTACTCCTTAAATTAATTACTATGTAACAGTCACAACAGAGCATTATACTTCTATTCCAGATGGTGAACTGCCTAGCCCAGTTTATCCCAGAAAAAAACTAAACATACTTCAGTCTCACAACATTTTGGAACAATGGCTCAGTTTTTCATAGTTGGCCATGGTCTCACCTTGACTCATGTAAGCATCTAGGGCATTCATATGTAACTGGCTGCAAATTAAAATTAAAAAAAAATCTGGGAGGAGGGAAGGGTGTTAACCATTCTTCCGCCAGCAGTTTTCCACAGCTCCCATGCTTCCATGTGACAGCTGGGAAAAGCAGAGACACCTCTTTTTGGAAGTTCTTTTGACAAGGAAATTGTACAGATTCAGAGTGTTTGGAACACACTAACACATTAAAGCAAAAAAAAAAAAAAAACAAAACCAACTCCCAAAAAATAAGTAGTGCTTGTTATTGACATTTCTCCGTAAAAGTGCTAATGAAACAGACAGTCCATATTTTTGGTTTCTTCTCTTGCATAAATACTACCTGGATTGCATCTCACTCAAATCACTGCACTTCTTTTTTTTAAGGGTATTGGAGGCAATCCCTGAGATTTTTAATGGAAAACTAGTGTTGAAGCAGACAGAGATTCTCAGGAGCAGCCTCCTTCCCCACCACACAACCAAAAGGTTCCTCAGAAACACTGAGCTCTGCTGAATGTTACTTTGAACAACAGAGTAAATGAGTTTGGTAGCAGCAGCTCCCTTGGTTTACTTCTCCAGTTTGCTGTCCTATGACAGCTGTGGGCTTCACTTAATGCAAATCAGGCTAATACAGCTTTTGGTACAAAATCTTGAGCTCTTGTACTGCCTGCTGCCGCCAGGGCAAAGGCAGGTTGTGTGGAGCAGCAGCTGTTGCTGGGAAAACTGTTTTCACTCCTCTCTTCACAGGAGGAGCAAGTGAATTTACTGCTGCTTGGTCCCTTCACCATATTTCTTATTTCCATTCATCTGATTACTCAATAGCAAAACCAGCCTTTCTCCCACTCTTTATCCTTCCTGCTGCAAAAGACAATTTTCCTTGCCTGGAGTAATAGCTTGGAAAACAGCTCATTTCAGCTGCAGCATTGACGATCACAACTGTAACACCCTGAGAAACCACTTTGTAAGAGGGATTTTTTGCAAGTCCTAATTGAGAACTCTTTATTGCCTGACTTAGCTGATCACAAAATCCACATATGAACATCCCAACATTTTTTTAACTTTATTCTCAGTAACACAACATATTCTTATGCAAAAAAGGCAAGACAGAGGCTGATGACTTGCCCATAGCAGACTAAAATTAAATTTATTCTGCACTTTTCTGCTGTGTTTCTCTTTCCTCCCACCATTAGTCTGGAGAGTCTGTAGGAAACATAATCTGCCAAGCATTTGTGTAGTGTCAGCACAATGGGGATTGCAAAGGTCTTTAATGATAAACCATGTAATGACAAACTGCAATCCAGCCTTGAGAACGGTAGTGTCAGTGCCCTTGGTGCCAAGCTCATTTCTCACTTGATAAGTTGATGAATAAAGGTCACTTCAAACATTAATTCAGAGGACATTCATGGTTTTATCCTTGATGCACATAATTCTGCCTTTGTCATAGTCCAGCACTCTCAGAAGTGAGCCTCTTAGGATGTGTTCATTATGTACTTTGACTTAGGTTGTTGGGGCAGAATGTTGTTCCGGGGACACATTTCTCTGAGTCAACAAAATTAATTTTTCTCTGCCTTTCATCCTTCTGAGGTTGTTTTCTCTTTTTCTATAGTGAATGAGGCTGCCTACTTCTGGAAATTCTAGTACCTCAGCTGGCATCTATTCTCTACTGTTACATTCTTCTAATGTCTGATACAGAGGCTGAGGACTGACGAGACAGTCCGACATTTGAGGGTCTAAAAGGTTTTTTCCAACCTACAAATCCTCTTGCAAATTAAACTTATGCAAATGCTTACAATCCGCAGGTTGGTTGCAAAACTGAGTTGTCAGACACTACCAGCCACATTGTCGAATCTCTCACCGCTCCCCAGCGAGAAACTGGGACCCCAAAACCCACCGGGCACGTCTCCTTTCGTTCGCGGCTCTTGCACGGGGAGAACGCATCCCTGGGATGGGGCACCAGCGGCGGGAAGGCCGGGGTTGCGGGGCACGCCGCGCTCCGCCGGACACCCGCGGGAAGGCGAAGGGTGCGGAGCGGCCTCCCGCCCTCCTTGCGCCGCAACCACTCCCCGTAAAGAAAGTCACCAGGGGGTGGGGAAATGGTAACAGCTCCAGGAAGCCGCCGGCGGCACCGAGAGACACCGAGGGAAGGCAGCCCGCGGGGTGGCAGCTGCCAGCCCGCACCCGCCGCCATGAGCTCCCCGCAGCGGCCGCCGCTCGCTCACGTCTTCAAGGGGACCTTCGTGCACTCCAGCGCCTCCGCCCCCATGGAGATCCTGCGCGGACACCTTCTGGGGGTGGACGATAACGGGACAGTGAGTGGGGGGCTCGGGCGGGGCGTGGCGGGCGCCGGCGCGGCGCGGTGCGGGCGGCGGGAGATGCCCGGAGTGACCCTTGCGGCCCCGAGTCCGGGTGGCCAGAGGCAGGGCCGGCTCCGCCGCTCTCTGGAGGGAAAGCGGAGCATTTTCGCGCTCCTGTCTGTCGGGGCAGGCGCCGCGGAGAAGGAATTTCGCCCTTGCGGGAGCTGGAGTTAACCGGGATGGAGCGTCCCTTCGGCACGAGCCTGCAGCTGGCATAAATCTGCTTTTGGGCTGTGCCGGGTGTTCCCGGAACAGCAGCGTTCCTAGACCTGGCTTTCTTTCAGATTCTCTGTTTTCTTTCAGTTTCACAAGCTGGATTTTGATTCTCAGGATGTCTAAACAGTGATGGTGAAATTAGGTGTCTACCCACTGCACAGCCATCTAAACGAGGCTTTTTTTGTCTTCTTGTCACAAAAATCCTCCCCATGGCGCATACCCATAAAGAGTTAGAAAGATCATTATGTGGGGCATTTCAGTAGTATGAACCAAGCTTAAAACAAGCATTGCACTTGCTGATAATGTAGGAGAGAGTCTGGCAGGGAGGCAGTGTCATTTCCTTAGCCCTTATCACACTTGAAAATCAGTTTCATAGTGCAGGTTGTGCAAGTAAACTGGTGATTTCTTGTAAACTCAATAACATATGGTCACCCTATATTAAATCTAAAAAAGTAGCTTTCTTTCTTGTGGCTAAATAACAGGCTTCAGTGTGTCAGGCTTCAGTGACATTTGAAATATGTGCAAAACACAGTTTGAGCACTAACAGTGCATTTTCTCTATTCACATTTGACCATGAGGGCCTGTTTCAAGACAGCCCTTTTGTAGCTGTTGAGGAGTCTGGTGCAAGGTGTCTAGAACTCTGTGAGGAACTGTATTTTGACGAACAGGAGGGGAGTAAAAACTTGCATAGTTATGTATTGGCTGGTCTTAAACAATAGATCTAAATGAAAAAGGTTTGGCTGGTGTAACTCGGGTGCACAAGGCAGAAATCTATACTCTATTGCACTCTCTTTAATGTCAGTTCTGGAAAAGTGTCTCTACACAGCATCCATATGAAATCAAGATTTTTTAGTGATTTTCTTGAAAAAGAGGTATCTTAGTAAGCAACACCTAGGGATCTATGCTCTCAGTTACTCTCTCCTTTTCCTAGGGAACAAGGATTAATAGTATACTATTTTTCTTGCATAAATTGGCAGAATTTGTTTTTAAATCAATTGCAACACTATCTTCCTAAAACAAAATTCCCACCAGAATACAGTGACAAGCACTTTTATTTTATTCTCTTTTTATTACAAATTCTTGACATTTTAATATATGCTCTCTTTTCTCTCTATTACTCATAATGTAGCCTCATGCAGAACAACCACTGGAATCACAGAAGAGGTGGCTTTTCAAGAAAGACATAGTGGTTATAAAATTACTTTCCTTTATTTTTCAAATTTGCACCAAAACTGCTTCTGTTTTCCTCCCAAATATGTAGATTTAACTAAACAGGTGTCCTTCTTTTGCCTCATGTTGCTGACTCCACCATGGAAAAATTTTGCATGGTCTCTGACGCTGTGTGTCAGAGCTTGTATGAACAACTGGGTTCTGTTTTACAGTGAGTCCCTGCATTTTACATCCAAGGGATATAAAATGTCATCTCTCTGCTTTGCCCAAGATGAAAACAAAGTTTTATGAAGAAAAACATTGCTTTTGGATATAAAACCTGAATTTATCATCAAGTTAGCAAAGTAAGGACCATGTTTAACTGAGTGGTTTGCAGAGCAGTGTAGTGTCTTCCTTGAGGAATGGCAAAGAGAAAGACCAGTATTCCTCAGGGTAAACAAAACAGACATAGGTGCAAAATATTAATTGTTATTGAAATGTTGGTGTGATTGTCCTAGGTGAGTAGAATATTAAGTAAATAGAAAAAAATATTAAGCTAAAAGCCCTTGTGGAAGTCATGAAAAGAACAAGAGTTGTGGAATAAGGATTTTGAGCATCAGGTTTGATTTAAGCCAGTTGTGACAGCAAGTGGACATGTGTCAGCTGTACAAGGAGGAAGGTGCCATCTATCTGGAGTTCATTGCTCCCCTTTTTCAGCAGGTGGGCAGTTCCTTTAGCCGCTGGGTGTTGCAAATGTTCTTGTCTCTCATTTAGCCTCGCGTTCCAGTTTTGGGAACTAGGCAAACAACAGGCATCATTTAACTGCGGGAACAGGGAGGGAGGAGAGCATGTGGGAGGGGAAAGGAATAGTCCCCTTCTCATGTTCCCCTCTGAATGTCATAGCCAGGCACTGTTGGATCCAAGCAAACCATGTTCCTTCAGCCAGTATAATTACCTTTCCATTTTCTTGTTAGTAAAATATTTGCTCTGTGGTGCTTGAAGGCACTCAGGATTTGCTACATCAGGGTTGATGCGTGGTTTAGTTGACCAGCTATGCTTTAATGTAAGAGCTTTGGCCATCACTTGGTATACAAAAGGCCTGAGTTAGTCACAAGTGTTGGGAGAACTTTACCCCTGATCTTTGGATTCTTTAGCCCCATTACGTGAGTAACACGTGAGAACTTACAGAAGTGTTTGGACAATGGGGTTAGCAGCCACTAATTTTGTGTTTTGTGATACACCTTTCCCAGAGTGCCAGTTATTCTCCTTGGCTTCCTTCTTTAAAGCTGAAGTTCTTAGTCTTGTGCACTTCTCTTGACTCTGTAGTGACTCTGGTGTAGAATTTCTTCTTGCTTCTACAGTGTTGAGGTGCAGAACTAATTAAAAGAACTGTGCATCCAGTTGGTTACCTTGAATGCACAAGCAAATACTAGAGCAAATATCCAGGCACAGGATCTCAAAGAGTTTAAAGCATTCAGCATTAGAAATGGATCCTAAAGCAATGGGGAACAACTCTTGGCTGACAAAGGAATTCCATTGGGAAGTTTGTTTGAAAAAAGTATAGATGTCTTGTTGATTTACCCATAGTCTAATTCAACCATAATAAACCAGGTGTCAGGTTTAGAATTGATTTAATGTATCCAGCTTCCTTGAAACAGATTTTCTTCATTTTTCCATGATTTACGTATTTTATTTTTCTGCACCCTAAGAGTACATTACAGCCACTGCTTTTCCATGGCAACGCCTGTTTTCAGAATTTGTCATCTGGTGTTTCATGTTTTTCTCTCTCTCTTTTTTTCCCTCCCTCTTCACCCTTCTCCCCACCAGAAGCTCTTACATTGCTCGTTTCTCTGCATCCATTTTGACTTCAATATCTGAATGACATTTTCTTTATTGCACATCAGATATTTCTGGTCTGTATTCCAAACCTTCTGCAGTTAAATTAAGTTGGATGTATTCCTCTTTGCATGGAGGACAATACTGCTTCTTGTTAACTATTAATGGAACACTACAAACTTACAATTTTTGCTAGTGTGGTATTTATTTATATGGCGTTATTTTAATATTTTTTTTCTGACTGAAAAGGTAAAACATCTGCTCTTTAAACAATATAAATCATGCCATCCATGACTAATTTAAAAGACAAGACAGCCAATAACTTGTTGTGTACATTTTAGGAGTGTTTACAGTTTAGCAGCTTGGCTTATTTTTGCCTATGGAAAAAACAGAAAATAGTGTATTTCTATGCAAAAGAAGCATACAGATAAAGAATGGCCTGCAAATAAGTGGGAACAATGCTTTTTTCAGTCCTCTTGCTCTTCCTCCTAAGTTTCTTCCTATTGCCATTTTACAAGTACTAAGTTTTGCCTTCTTCAATGTAGTTTTGTTTTTCTTTTTAACTGTTGCCCTAGAAGCTGCTGTCATGAGGGTGATACAGGCCCTCAGTGTGGATATCATCCCAGGAGGAGAAGGATACTGATAACAGGAAGAGTATTCCCTTGAGCTTAAGGGAATGAGCTCTTATAACCAAAGGATTAGCAGACTGTGTATTGGTTTCTGGCAGATGCTGTGGTTAGGGGCAGGAATTTCTGTAAGTTCAGATAGGCAGTCTTTGGCCAGGGGAGACTTCCAAGTCCTCTAAATTGTCAAGTATTGAGGATACTTGGATCCCGTATGGAGCCTGTAGTGGGCATTACAGTTCCTAGGCTCCACAGTCTCTGTTTCCTGAGGAGCTGTCATGCCTATTAGTGATAGACCAGAGAATCAAAGTGTTGAGAATTCAGCACCTAAGAGTCATCTCATAGATTAAAATACCACAGAAGTTAAAAATAAATTGGAAATGTGTTAAAATTCTGACTAGGCAACAGCAACTCATCATCAGTAGAGTATATGTTCTCTAGGAGTCAAATGGGGTTGAGTTTGGCTCAGATCAACAGATTGTAGGGTTTTTTTTTAAAATAAACAAAGAACTCAGCATCCTTTTAGCCCATTCTGTAAAATGAAAATATTATCCACATTTCCCCCTTCAATTTATTTTCTCATCGTAGGCACTGAAAAAATTAAAAAATACCAACACAAGCAGAAAATTAGAAAATACTTAGCTTGATGTCTGTCAGTCATAGGCACAGCAGGTAATTTGAGCCCGCTGGTTGTGAGTACTGTACCTGCATTCCTGTAAGACTGTTGTACAACTCTTCACAAGTGGCCATAGCATGATATTACCTTGTGGGACACTCAGGTCTGTGCTGTTCTGCCTGTGTATTACCTGAGAAGAAATTAATTGTTTTATTACAAGTTACAAGGTGGATGCAGTTATTCACTGGATTATGAGAAGGTATTTCAAAATCATGCTTGATAGTCAGAAAGAACATGTGTCTCAATGCAAACCTAACACCTCTGTAGTAAGTGTGTAAAATTGGTTTTAAGATATAACTTGTTTTGCCTTCGCATAAAGCTGATGTGGGATGCACATTTAAGGTACTTAACTATGTTTTCTTTTTTTTTTAGATTGTGTTTGTGGAACAAGCTGATCAGCTAGAGCAACTGGCTAAGACGTGGGGGTTCAAAACATCTGACATAAGACAACTGAGTAAACAGTATGTGTTTTGTTAAGATTAGCTACAGGAAATGCAGTTTGTTCTTTGAGTGAGGTAAAGCGAGTCTTTGGAATACCTTTTGACAGCGACAACATTAAACCCGTATGTTGCCCATACATTTAATGGCCAAAATTCCAATTTAGTGCACTAAGAGCTTTTTACCCAAAGGTGCCTGGATGCAACTCGGAGGATGGACAGTCCGTATTCTTTTAGCATTCCTTGGTTTGGGATTGCAGACATGGCTGAATTGTGCTGGCTGATGTATGCTGCACAGAACAAAATGCCATATTTAATTTTCAAGCATAATCTCTTCCATGCTCACAGAAGTGAGTGCCATTCTATCTTGAGCTTACATTTTATATCCATTTTGTTTAGCAGTGGGCTGTGCCTAACATGAAAGTCTAGATGTAGTAAATGTAGGTAACTCTGACACTGCAGACATGAAACTCATTTGCTTGGACTTTGACACATTGCATAATAAAAATTAATACAAGATGAAGATTTAAACCCTTTAAATGCAGAGCTTTTGATTTCTCACTATACTGCAGCTGGAGCATTTATTTTTTCTTCATCCAGTGAAATCCTCCAACTTTTATGGTGAAGTGAAAAAGCTTTGGACTGTGTGAAAAGTTTTGGATTATGCTTTGCATGTAGTAGCGCTGTAAATGAGTTGTGGCTTATAATTGAGAGCTACAACTACCCTCTAGTAATCAAATGTTGAAAAACTTCTATGCTTTGCTGAAAGGCTAATCATTCAGTATATATGAATAATCAGATTTTTTCTTCAATTGAAATAGCCTGAGTAAAATGGAAGGTGCTGAGAATGTGAATCAGATTGAGGAAGACTTTTCAGCATTTTTGCCTGTAAGAAAACTGAAAAAAAGAGGAGCTAAAAAGAGAAAAAATTCAGTTCATTCATAGTCAGGGAGAAGGAAAGAGGAGTGAGAGAAATGTTATGCAGTAAGGAGTTTCAGCACAAAACAAAATAGCCATAGCAACTTCCTAGTAATGTTGATATATTAATTCCTCTTATTGCATGAACATTGCATGACAACATATAGTTTTACAGTTACATTGTAAATTGTCTTTCCCGTCAAGATATTGAGCAGTGCTTTTTTAACCAGTGTCTGTGTCTGCATTTTTAGACAGAGTGTCTGCTCTTCCATTAAGCCTTGAAATTCATTGACTTTATATATCTCTATAGGCATATAAATAACATAGAAAGAAAACTGGCATATAGAAAGTCACATTTTGTAAATTTAATGGTCGGGAAGCTAGAGGCATTCCATATATATTCAAACTGGGAAACAAGACTGTGTACAAATCTCTTTTTCAGGTGGATTCTATAGTAGAGTAATTTTAGTTATTGTGAGTTCAGTTCCCCTTTGTTTGTTGGCATTTAGGGTGGGTCAATATTAGAGACCATTAGATTAATCATGCTCTTAAGCTGTTTTTCTCACAGTTAGTATTTTGCTGTGGAAATGATATTACTCAACTGCTTCATACCAAAATATGGGTATGGGTAGAGGTACAGCAGGAGTTAATAGGCTGATGCTGGAAGAGACAGATTAATCTGTACTTGCCACTTATTCTGGTGAATTTTAATCAAGTATATTGTTTAAAACAAAGCTAACTACTATGGAGAATTTTGAGGCATTTTGTATTATTACAATTTTATTTTCTTTCCTTAGTGAATTCTTCATGCCAGGATTGGTTGATACACATATTCATGCTCCTCAGTATTCATTTACTGGTACAAGAGTAGACCTGCCTCTTTTGCAGTGGTTGACTGCATACACATTCCCAACAGAAGCCAAATACCAGGACAGTGGTTTTGCAGAAGAAGTGTACACCAGAGTTGTTGTAAGTCCTGCAAATGATGTTTACCTACTTGATGACATTCATTTTTGTGTAATATTGGCATGTTCTCAGAAGGTCAGCAGAAAGAGTAGAGAATGTTTTACTGTCATGGAAACCAGATAAAGCCAAGATAGCCACTGTTCCAATTGCTAGTCAAGACTGTCTGTTCCTAGTTACAGTCTTGTTCTCATGTTGCTGGCAGTAGAGTTCATTTAATCACAAGGTTAAAAATGAACTGTTTATCACTTTTTCTGAATATAATGACAATTACTAATCTACAAAACTAACCTGCGCTCAGAATTTGTACAGCCAGCAGGTGTAGACCACCTCAATGTAGCAATAACCAAGCATAGTAAAAAAAAATAAAATCAGGGGATGTTTCATTTCTTGCACAAACATCCTCTGTTATGACATCTGCAAAAACCACATGAAAGAGAAGATACTTCTGATAGATGACAAATCTGGGGTGTTCTGGAGGAGTAAAGGAAGACATTGCTGCTGCAGAGGTCTTTATAGTGAGAATGTCTTTCACTGCAGGGGCTTTAGAAGGAGTCTCTCCATGGTACTGTGGGCCAAACAAAGACTGTGTTGGAGCTAGACTGGTTCTGAGTGTCATAAAGTTTTTAAGATCCACTGAATGAACAACAGGCACCTAGGTCATATTGCAGAGTAATAGTTCTGGTCTGTAACTGAAATTTATCCTCTAATATGTGGACTGAAATATCTTCAACAGATAAAATTGTTTGGCCAGCATAACTTGTCTATTACCCTGGCAGCATCTGTTGTCGATATAATAACATAACAAATCTGAAATAAATAGTTATGCAGTTCCCTGCCACACAAATTTTAAAAGAAATTACTTTCTGCCATCTGCCATGATAAAAGCATGCAGGAGTAGCCTGGTCATAAGCTCCAGTGACAAGCACACATGCCTTCAAGTGCTTAAAACGTAGAGGTGACCTCACCTTTGAGCTGTGTGCCCAACACACTGTTGCAGTGCAGGCTGAGTGACCCCAGCACATCTAGAGAGCTCACCCTGCAAGGTGTGTCACAGTATAATCTGCAAAAGAGCTGCCAGAGAGAGGTGGAAGTTAGGCTCTCCCCATGTGAATCAAATAGAACAGGGTCAGGAAAATGTCTTCACCCGCAGAAGATACAGAATACCAGTCACTCTGCAGTGTTTGATGGGGCCAATTATAACCTTCATCTGTTAGAAACAGAGCTAAACTTTCAAGGAGCAGATTTTTTTTCATAAGTATCATTGTGCTTATGAAGTTGTAATGAAAAAGCAGTGGATTTTTTCAAATCAAAGTTCTGTTTCCAACAAACACCTTCTATACTCAGCAAAAGAAACAATTTAGGTGAAATTTTCCTGCTTTTAGCCGGAACCTTCTCTTTGTGTTGATGATTTGGAAACAGAATGTCTTTAGATTTACTTTAACAATGCTGTTAGAATATCAGAAGTAGAGAATTCTGAATTTTAAAAGCTAGAAAAGACAAAGGCAACTTGTCTTAGTAATGGCATTACTATTTTGAGATTTTTTTTGGAACTTCTAAAGATTCTCATTTGAGTGTTGTAAGGAATAGACAGAGCTTGGCTTCATGTTTGTCAAATAATTAACTCTAGACTTCCTCCAAACATTGTGTGGGACATCCCACTTTTATCTCATTAAAAAAAAAATTAAGAAAATTCTCAAATTACTTGGCAGCCAGAACCCAAAATATAGTTTAGGCCTGTATGTTGGATAAGTGGTCAACATAGTTTACATCACTCCCAAGGACAAGAGAAGCTACAAATTTCATCATGAATTAATGTAACTAAAATACCTGGTAATTTACTAATATGTTCCCCAAAAGTAATATGGAGATTTCCTTTCAAATGGTATATTAGATAAATAATTAGCTCATAGTCTGAGTGGTTTTGCTCAGTTTGCTTTTACAGTTAAGTTTGATACTTGGTATTTGGGGACAACAAAGATTTTTGATACATGAAAACCTGACTTGTTTTTCCAGCTAGATCGGGTTGCTAAAAGAAAACCACCATGTTCCCCAAAATCTTTGCTTTGCTAACACTAGTAAACAGTGCTTCACCATGAAAATTGGAGACCCTTTCATAACTAGGAAACGGCAAAAAGTACTAGTTGTTTGTACTTCTAAATATAAGTTGGAGTATTTCCTGTTTGGGGAAAGGAATAGAGACTGGTTTCTATGGGTTTAGCCACTGAAAAAATTTGTGAGGAGTTTTTTGTATTTATTAACCCTCAGACTTAAAAAAAGCTTTATGAAATTAAAAATCTATATTTTTACCTTCCCACTTCACTGCAAAATTTCACAATAACTAAATGTTCTTGCAGTTTGAAATGAGACTTCCTGTTCTGAATTTTGACAGCTTTACTGGTTTTTTTCTCAGACAGTTGAAACTGATTTCTTTTTTTAGAGACGAACTCTAAAGAATGGCACGACTACAGCTTGCTACTTTGCAACAATTCACACAGACAGTTCCCTTCTTCTTGCTGAAATTATAGGTAAGTCTAACAGTGAGTTTTGAAGGATTGTGTGGATTGTATTAGTTGAAGGAAACAATGTTTAGGAGTTTAGATTAGCTAGGGATCTGTCTCCTAATTAGTTTTTTATTCATTGAACCTGTCACACTTCATCCCCAAACCCCACCTGTTACCCATTTTCACTTAAACACCTCTATCCTATGATTGTTATTCCTTCTCATTCCCAAATCAGCTGCTGGCTGAGCTTGAATTAGGTCTGTTGGACTTGTTCTTCAGCTGCAGCTCTCTGCTTTTTCTAACCTTTTGTTATTTGAGGTTTTAAAGAACTGAATGTCAGGAGGCCCAGTCAGTGCATTAATTTCCTGATACACTGAGGTCTCAATCAATATCAAAAATCTTCACACACCCTCTGAAATCAGAGAAGTGGAAGCTGCATCAGAATTTTATTCTTCCCTTCTGTTCATAGTTGCAAATGCTTGCTGTTTGAAAATGTTGTTGTTCTTGCAGGATTTCTCAAGGCTCAGACAGCTCAAAAGGCAGAGAAATTTAATAAGAATTTAAAATTTCATCAAAAATTAGCTATTCTGATTTATTAGGAAAATTTTAAAGCCATTACATTAAACAACTTAAATAGTAAATGTGGACAAAGAGATCTGATTTTAAAACACATTTGACAGCCTAGAATTGGATATTATATATGTGTTTTACACAAGTTCTGATTTATTCATCTAGCATGGGTAAATCTCAAGAAAGAGTCTAGAATAGATCTGGAAATTTCTCCCTCTAACTGCATGTGGGAGGTCTGTTAGCAATCTTTGCCTGGTAGTAAAAAGAGAGATGGTTTGCTAAGATCTTTATGCCTTCTCTCATCTTCAGGTAGTCTTCTACTAACAGCTACTGTACTTTGATGCTTGTGTTTCTCATCCTTTGTGTCATAGCTGTCTTCGTAGACTACCATTAAGAATTCTGGTTGTGGTTCAATTATAGTAATCTAGTTATTATTTATAAAGTTGAGTATTAATGTGGAAGACAGCTCCTATTTGATGTTGTTTGTTTCCTTATTTTGTCTTTTCTTTTTATCCTTAAAAGTCACATGAATGATCCTAACTTGAGACAAGACAGGAGCATAAATTCTGGTCATCCTAAATGGAAGTGGGTGGGGTGGACTTTGTTTATTTCCCTACAAGCTTTGGTAATGGTTTCTGAAAACCAGTGATTCTGAGATTTATATTCTGATGCATCTCAACAGATAAATTTGGTCAACGAGCATTGGTTGGAAAAGTCTGCATGGATGTGAATGACAGTGTTCCAGAATACAAAGAGATTACTGCTGACTCTATCCAAGAGACAGAAAGGTAAAATGATAAAATTTGTGGCATAACCTTTTAAAATAAGATTTTTCATACATCTGAGAAGTGAATGTGAATCTGTCCAAGAGCTACAGGTGTGAAATTATTAGCATCAGGGTTTTTCTTCCAATAGTACTGTCCCCTACTGTCCTGGCAATAACCCTGCACTTCCCAAGTAGCATCTCTTTGGCTTTTCTAAAGAGAGGGAGAAACTACATATCTAGGGTTTGAGAGGATATGTCTGTTTTCTACTGCCTCTTTTCCCTTCTACAGCTGTGTATGTCAGGTCATGGGACCTGACATACAGTGGTGAGGTGGCAGCCAGTTCCTTCATCCCTGTTAACTTCTAAGCTATTTCCTTCCACCATTTAGGTTAAGGCTTTATTCAAGTTGTAGAACTCAGCTTTCATGTACCCCATTTTAAACATCTCTTCTCCATCACAGCACCAGTCAAACTACTCCAACATGCAGCTGAGAGAACGAAGGAGAATCAAATGAAGGCAACGTTTGTAGCGGAGCAGAGCCAAGACTGAATTATAGGAGTTTACTATCATGTTTCTCATGTCTTTCACACGCATGCTCAGAAAACAGTTAAGAACACATACAGCTCTTCTCATGGGACTATCTATTTACTTATATAAAAGTGTCAGATGTCATGCTGAAAGAGAAAACCCCTAAGAGTAATATAAATATATTTATATTTATATAAATATATATTTATATGCGGTTGCTCTCTTGTTTTTATAAATCATGCTAAAGGCGTGATATCAAAAGTTAGAAATGGTCATGTATTTCTAATAGTGTTTATATTTAAAGAAATTTTCAAAACATGCAGTCTTAGTTACCTTCACTCTTCTAACATTTGTTTCCCTCTATGTAAATCCCCAGCTTCCATAATACAGTGCAAGTCCTGCCAAATAGGTCTGAAAGAAGCAGAACTTCTTTAAAATAAGTTTCAAAAGCTTCAGAAGGATTTAAAGAGCTTTCTTTTAAATGTCTATCTTGTGCCTCCAACTTATTCCCTTTTGATTGTGTAATAAGAAACATTTCTCAACTTTGGGTGACAGGTTGCCACAAGTACTCCATAGCTGTGTAGGGAATAGGGCTGTGTGCTTCTTGTCATGGATCTGGAGTACTTATCCGAATCACAGCAGTTCAATTGCAGAAGAATGAAAGAGCTGTTTCATTAAGAGAGCAACATGTTAGTTGGGTTTTTGTTGCTTGTTTTTTTAAGAATCTAAGAAATGTTATCTGTCACACTGTCAGATAATGGACTACACTCATTTCAGTTACTTAGAGTTAACATTCAGAAATATTTATATTGTGTGCATGGAAATAAGATACAATTCCAACTACTTCATATATTAAATTTAAATTAATCAAGAATTTGAACCTATCATTCTTTGTCAAAGAGGATTTAATAAAAAGTTAGGGAATGGAACTCTAGATTAGATATGCTACTATTAGTTATAGTCAGCTGCAAAGATGAGAACCTATGTTGAAGTCTGTTCTGCTACAGAAGACAGTGATTTGAAGCTGAGCTTCTTTCCTTATGGAGAAGTACATAACCCAACAAATTACAGTCTATATTTGCAAAACATATTTAATCATATTTCATCAGTTTTGAAACAGCTCACACTGTTCAAGGAATGTGAGAAAGAATAAAAACAGTCACATTGAAATTTTGACTTGTCAACTGGGCGTTAGATTTCTGTTGAAGCTTCTGCTCAAGTGCGTATTTTATTGATCAAGTTCTGATCATAAAGCTTCTGATCAAGTGTGATCAGGTTAATTGTTAAGAGGAGAAACAGGCAGGTGATAGCTAATTTGCTTGGCATTTTAGCTCTCAAGTTAGACGGGGTGGGCTCAAACTCCTTTGGTCATTGCAAAAGTCAAACTCAGGTTTCTCATTTCCATCTGGTGATCTAGTGCAGGGTTCATTTTCTTTTTCCTCCGGACACATTTGAAAAACTTGATACAACATGTGTTGTGATTAAAATTACACAATTTTCGTACTACAAATTGTGACATAAAAATTCACAGAGATCCTGTCCAGAAAGCATCTCAAACTGTCTTTCACATGTCATTTACATACACTGAACAAATGGGCTTTCGAAGATTTTCCTGCTTCCAAAGTAGGAGGAAGTTTAGTAGGAGGAAGTTTAATTATCATCTGCATTATCTGTAGTGACTGCTTGGGGTTTTTTGTAGAGGTCTGAGGTAGCATTTTAGTTAACAGAGTAAGTAAATCTTTATTTTCTGGAAGGTAGATAGTCTATACACTAACACTAATATAAGCATTTCCAAAAATCAGGGGTTCTTTAAGTGAACAAGGACATATGAATCTACTGTAGATATACAATTTTGCTGCATCTTTTAAAATTTGGATTTGAAAAGGTTTAAACACTGCAATTTGAATTCACGGGCAAACAAATTTAAGTTTGGTATGTTTTTTCTTTCTTCAGTATTGCAGGTCTAGGTTATAATTATGTTTTCAATTAATTTAATGTAGGATGTGTTTGGTTTTCAGAGAGAGATCGGAATAATTGCTGCTTGTCTAATGCTGAGTATTGCTATGAAACAATAGTCATCATGTTTGGAGTCAAATTCAAAACTAGCATAATTTGGTGTCACTGTGCTGACTTCATTGTGTTCCCTTTTTTTATTTCTTCTGAAGGTCTGGCTCAACATTTTGTATAAAAATTGATCTGTCTGAAATGTTTAACGGGGTATCCAAGTACATATTTTTTTATATTTTTCATGATTTATTACATAGAGGGCAGATTTATAGCAACTTTATTTCTACCCTTTTTCAGGTTTGTTAGAGAACTACTGGAAAAGAAAGTAAGTAGTGTTCTTTATTGAATTCACTTCTGTATTCAGAAGATGCTGTGTGAACACATGAAATAATAAATCCTGCTATCCGAATCTGTTGTCTTAGTGACAAATCAATAAATATACATATTTCTGTGTAATTTACAGATATCGTCACTCTGAAAAATGTTCTAGTCATGTTGGGAAATGTACTTATAACAGTATAAAATCAGTTTTCTCTTCTCAGAGCAGAGCAATGTTATCTGTGTTTCTCTACTGAGTTTGAAAAGCCTGACTTCCTAGAAAGGATGATTTTCTTGTTAAGAAAGGTGGAATTCAATTTATCACTCTGTAGTATAGAAGTAGACAGACTAATTGAAGGAATTGTCACCAGCAGAAATCATCATTTTTTTCAGTAAAGTTACTAATTCACTATAAAATTAGTGGTTTGGGTCAGTGCATGTCTTAAAGTGTGTTTCTAAAGACATTCATGCTTACACTGCTATGGTAAAGATAGAAGTTTACACTCCAACATTATATACAGTAGTACTTTTCTTATCAGCCTTTGCTTTTCAGTGACTTCTTTTCATATCCCATCTCAAATTATTCAAGAGCAGTTGCCTGGAGTTTAGTGCCTAAACTGATTATATCACTAGAGTAATGCCTAAACTATGTATCACTAGAGTAAATTGGCTAATTTGCAAAGACCTATGCTCCTTTTTTCTGGGAGATAATACAAGGAACTGCAGTCCAAGTTATCACTTACTGGCTTGTGCTAAACTCTTGCCTCTGGTGACAAAATTGTAATCCTGCTAACTTTTTCTTTAGGAAAATTTTAATCTAGAGATGCAAGGTGTAAACCTCTGTTTTAGTTCTTAGTGTCTTCTCCACTATTTCCTACTGTATGGCATATCTGATTATACCACCATTCTTCTTATCTAAGGAGTTTAGGGGTTTGTTGCTGTTATGCGTAAAGAAGATTGGACACAAAAATAGCTTTGGTTTTGTAGAAGCTTGCAATTTTGCATCATTATATCTTCAATAGTCACAGAAGTGTGACTGAAAAAAATCTGGTCATTCAACTGACTTTTTTCTCATCATGCATTTAGACTGTCAGCAAATATGAAAAAGTATCCAGTGCTGCTGAAGACTGGTGAAATTTCAGCAACTTGATGAAAGTTCTAATAAAAACAAATTCTTTAATAAAGTTTATTAAAATTGTTGTAAGAAACCCCCACTTTCATTCTCTGTTTCTGTAATGAGATGTCTAATGAAAGCAAGGAAATTACTATACAGCTTAATTTGAGTTGGCAAGAATGAAGTAAGCAGTAAGCAATGTAGAAGACAAAATGTAATTGCCAAGTAAATGCTAGTCTTATGGTTACTGAAATGTATAGGTAGAATACAAACCTCATCTCCTGTTATTTTCAGTATCCCAGAGTACAGCCTATCATAACCCCCCGCTTTGGCCCCTCTTGCACAGAGGACTTGCTGAATGCCCTTGGGGATTTAGCACAAACCCACGATCTCCACGTGCAGGTAAGCTCTGAGAGCTCTGTGTGCCATTTAAGTGGTGTGGACAGACAGCATGCTGACCACCTAAAGAACCTTTGGGAGGAGATACATATCTGCTGCCCTGAGCTCAGCATCCACTCTGTTGTATGCTTGTTCTCTCTTTCACCTCACAATAACATTGTGTATTATTTTAACATCTTCCTGAAACAAAGTGGGGCCATTGTGTCATCACATTGCTGGGATGGACATGTGTACCGTCTCATATCACTTTATTCCTTTAAGGAACAAATGGGGCTACTTCTTTAGGTCCTATGAAAACTTCTTGAGGTCTGATGAAAAAAGAGATGCAAGGATTAGATTGAACTATAGGCTTTACAAGCACTTTTTTATGAATGTATGTTTAGCACCAGTAGATTGCTCAGAAGATTGCAATGTCAGGTTCAATGCTGTTTAAAGGACTCGCTCTATGCATTTTTTTGTTGCAGAGTCACATAAGTGAGACTAAGGAAGAAATCAAACTTGTGGAGGACATGTTTCCTGCCTACCAGAATTACACTGAACTGTATGATAAAAACAAGCTGCTAACCAGCAAGGTAGCCACATAGAAACTTCCCAAATATGACTTACATTAGTCCATGTAGAATTCATTAGAATATGATGGTTTACTGTATTTACCTGAAAAATTTGTATTGTTCTGTCAAGGTCAGTGACATCTGGGGAAAAGGAAATTTGTTTTATGTTCTATGTTGAGGTGTTGGATCTTTAAACAAACCTACAGTGTTCCTAAGTATTTTAGAGGAGGTGAAAAGAAAAATATTTTATGCTCCCTGATGCATTTTCTAAAGGCTCCAAAGAGAATCAGGGCAGTGGGATTAGAAGGAAGCTAGTTAAAGCTGGTATTGTAGGAACTGGCAATTCTTGTACATTACCTATTTATCTTTATATTCCAAAGATGTAATCCTGTTTTTGCAGTTTGCCTGAAGATTTCTTCTGTAGTGTTACGTTGGACCAGCTTCACTTTCTTCCTATGGAGAAGTAGCCCTCCGTGTTGAATTCTAAACATCAACTGTGCTTGCAGACAGATGCACTTTACTGCTCTGACTATCCAAAAGCACTCTCACCTCATTTTACCAGCTTATTTTACCGAGCTTTGAGAGGCACACTAGCCCAAAGAATTGGAATTCATTACAGCTTTATGCTGTTGAGATAAATGTGATATACCTGCCCACAGTAATGACAGGCTGGAGACCCAGGGCACACCTAATTAGATAGTGGACTGCCCATGCAAAAGTGAATATGAACAGCCTAACTATGGTCAGAGTACCTAAAAATCAGTCAAGTTCATTTAAAAAATTGTGAGAGAATTTTCAGACACACAAGGATAACAGCTGAAAACTCCCTAGGAATTAGCTGTTGAGCTCCCAATTCTGCGTTTGAAATTTTACCCTAGTAAATTACTTATTTACTGTCCTTTTGAGTGAGAAATCAATATGGACAACAGAAGTGTGTACACAGAATTATTCTTTATTTTCTTACATGGTCCTTTGCATGCTGATTTGGTGTGCAAGTGTTCTAAAGAGCATATTTTTGCTGCAAAAGCACAGGTCTCTGTGACTTGTATGCACACAAGTGAAAATGGTCATGAAAAATCATGATTACTGGCACTTTCTGGAGTCAGAGTCCTGTATATTTGGAAAAGGATTCTATTAAACACAAGCATGGCAGCAGAGCCTCAGATATTTTCTCCCCATCCACTCAAACCAAGACACCAAATCAATTTTTTGGAAGTGTTTTAAAAGCAGGGATTTTTTTTTTTAACTGTTGCTAAAATGTTTCTTTCCTTTTAGAAACAGTACAGATTGGCAGGGATATGCTTCAGTAGCTACCATATGTAGGTCCTTATCTGAAGACGTGGCTATTCTCCTTGTGTTTTCAGCTACAGTGAGCTTGATGAATAGAGATGTGAGGGGTACAGTGCCATTAGGAGATGCTCAGTGGAAGCAGCCTCTGTGCCATGCTCAATTTTATGTGCAGATTGTAACAGAACTCTTGCTCCTCTCTTTCAGTGGGCATTTGGCATATGAGGTAACGCAAATTAGATTTGTATGGGAATAATTGGTTTATCCACTATTAAATTATCCTATCCTATACTTCAATGTTTTTCTTGTGAACTTATTTTTAAAGTCAGTTATGTCAGCCTAAAAGTAAAAGCAATATATCGGTTGTATAAAAAATTAGATTATATTTTACATAAAGAATAGTTAATCTCTCTCTCTTTCCCTGGTGCAAACCTTTAGAGAGCTAATAGAAAACATGCTAAGAGTACATACACCTTCCATTTTATCTGATGTATTCCTAGCCCCACTTAATCTCCGTGTTAGCTACAAAATAAAAATTGTAAGCTTGTAACAGCACCAGGACAGCTGGGAAGTTTTAGCTTTTGTCTTTGGTCACAGCAGTCACTGCAAGAGCAAGAACCCTGCATTCTTATATTTAAAAAATGCAAAAAAGCTGAAGGAATGATATGTCAGGCACACTGAAGTTAATCAGCTTTTCCCTTGTGGGTTTTAAGAGCTTAATTCAAGAAATGCATTAATTTCACTAAATGGTAACATGTCCTTTTTGGTTATTTAAAGCGGTGCAGCAAACCTCACAGCCACAGAAGTAAATTAAATATTGAGTAAATTTGTGATTCTCTTTTTCTTTAGACTGTGATGGCACATGCCTGTCATCTTTCTGACGAAGAGCTGAAACTTTTTAGTCTTCGTGGAGCTGCAATTTCACATTGTCCCAATTCTAACTTTTCGTAAGTTAAAAAAAGAAAATAGGAATGTTGTATAATTAAATAAAGCTATTATTTGTGTAGTACCCTGAGTTGATGCTACCATTGCAAAGCTATGATATGGAAGCTATATGATACCTCATGACACCAGAAATGAAATACTGGACATGACCATTCATTATCCACTTCTGCATAGCATGCTCTGGGCCAATTTGTGGTCTTTCAGTTTAGTTATTGCATCTATATCCATATCTATATAAATATTTCTTTTCTAAAAATTTGTTTCTTTTGACTGTTCTGTCAGTGGTAGATGTCAGTGGCATTTCTCTTCCCCCTGAAGTCTGCTAATGTTTTGGGGAAATGGACTATAAACTCTTCTTTCTATTGAGCAGACATGAGATACTGCATGGTATCCAGACAGAATAGTAATAAACCAAATCTTGTACACATTAAGGGAGAGTCTTTGTCATAAAATGGCTCTGCAGTCCTGCTTTTCCTGAACTTTTTCTGTATGTAACACACAGAACGTGTTTCTTCTTCCAATCCAGGATGTGCAGTGGTGTCTTAAATGTGCAAAAGGTTCTCGAACACAATGTGAAGCTTGGTCTTGGGACAGGTTAGTAGTTTGCTCTGAAAGTGTTTTTTCTGGAAACCATTGGGAGATACATTCACCTGTTCATATTTAAAAGTCAGCATGTCTCCAGTTTTTGGTCCTCCTTTGTTTTTTTCCACTTGTAAGTAAGAAAGTCTAGACTATTGAAATCTAGGGTTGGTCCAAAACTGTTTTAAAACAAATTTTTAAAATTAGTGAAGACTTTTGTTTGTTGCTGTTTGTGAGCTTAAACAGGACCTGAACATCAACTTTTCAGGTTTCTGTTTTTGTGTTGTGTTCTATTCACCTGACTATGTGTGAGAGCACCTTTATTGGGAATTAAGCCTTCAGAGACAATGCTTAGCTGTAGAACTTGTTGGGTTTGCCACATATGTCGCTTTAGAACTTTGAATTAAAACTTACAGAAATTTAACGTAGAGACTTATACCCAAAGCTTTTTTCTAAGACTCTGATCCCTTCTAGATGTTGCAGGTGGATATTCGGCTTCTATGCTTGATGCTATAAGGAAAACAATGGTGGCATCTAATAGCCTTCAGATCAATAAAGTGAATGAAACAGGACTAACTCTTAAAGAAGCTTTTCAGCTAGCCACTCTGGGAGGAAGCCAAGGTAAGAAGAAAATTCTTCAGTGTGCATATGGAGAGCTACAACTCTCTTTGATTATATGTCTCCCTGCCTTCATGGGAGATTCACAGATTTTCTGGTGCCAGGGTGAAATCTAACTGGTAGGCAGAGATAATCCTTCAGTTTCTCATACTCATACTAGGCTTTTCAGAGAAGAGTACTCTATTAATGCAGAGAGTTTAATAACGAAATCTTAATGGCTTTTCAGGTTTGTACATTTGCTTTGCAAAGATCCTCAGACTTCTTAGTCATAAGGCTGTTAAGTGCTTGTCTATTTATTGTACCAGCTGGAAATTTGTTTTCTCAGCAACCATCACCTAGAAGAAAAACTGCAATTACTGTAAAATCATGCATTCTATTTGTCATCAGTTTCTAATTTTACTGTGCTTTTTGAGCTGTCAGTGAGGAAGTTTGTTGCAAATCAAAACACCATGCAAATCACTCCTCACTCAAGGAAAAGCAGAAAAACAGGCTTTCCACCATGGTTGTTCAAAACACAGTTGCATTTGCAGAATGCAATCATATAGTATATGGGTTATCCAGTTTTGGAGAACCAGTTTTGCTGTAATCAGTGTGCACATAAAAATAGATAAAATTTAAAAAGTTTTAGTGTAACTGATATGATTTAGCAGAGAGGAAATCCATATGTAAGTGAAAACCTATTATTGTTTCAGTTACCAGAAATGAGCTCACTACCTTCCAAAGCACTGGTCCCAAATCTTCTCAGTGTAACCTGTCTGTAGCTGCCAAAAAGCTCCATTGGGAATTATTAATGGAAGCTTAAAAGATGTAGTGAAAATGTTGTCAATCAGGTCTTCTCAGAACTGTGTTTGAATTCCTGGAGTGTAATGGGGGAAGTAGAGAAGACAGAAGATGAGTAGGAAACAAATAGTGTTCTTTTTCCTACAATATATACTCTTACACAAAGTGTAAGAATAAACTAGCTGAGACACAGAAAGGAAGATCAATAAAATCTGAAACTCTTATGTCGTTTCCCTTCCCAGCTACTCTTGTGCTTTTTCTGTATTAGGTTTCCTTAGTAAAGTGTTAATTTTTAATATAGATTTTAGGCTGTTTTATCCTTACTGAATCAGTTTTAAGGGTAGAATATAAATTACTTCTACAAGCTTCCAGTAGCCTGGATACAGAAAATTTCAGCAGCAGAAATTTAAATGAGTGATTTTTGTTTTTATAGTTTGCTTTGTTAAGACTTCTAAACATTTATCACCCTCTTGTGTTTAATCTAAAAATTACATTCTGCTCAAAAACCTGAAGGAACATGAGACCATTTTAGTTGAAACTAGTAGGTAATCAAAATATTTCAGAATTTGTAGGAGTTTAAATGTCTTTAAGATATTGTCATATTCCTGCCACTCACAAACTTCAATGACTTCTTAAAGTAACTTTGAGACTGAATTTCCTTTATCAGTGCAATCTGAAAACAAAGAAATTATTTGCAGGTATTATGCTCTTTGAGGACTTAATTTCAGGGTATTGGAAAAATAGATTTAATTTACAGATTATTTCTAGAACTTAAAACGGTCCTAATTTATTTCTAAAGAGGCACAAAGGCTTCTCTTTGGGTAGTCTAAGCACTTGCAATTACTCAGTCCCTGAAGATTAAGTTTTAGATTTTCAGGCATGTGGGCCTGAGAACTTGTGCTTGTAATGAAACATTTTAAAAATAAAGCTAAATAATAGACCACAAGGCAAGCCGTACAGGTAGGTATGAGACCTTGAGACTTTCTATGATTATTTTTCCACACCATATTATTCTTTGTTCCTGCTAATTGCAATTACTCACTGGATACTTCTTTTATTATCATATTACTATATGTTACTATTGCAATATGTCTAACAACCTTTCAAAATTGCTTAAACTTTTTTAAAAAATGTAGTTGAATACTGCCTTAGCAAGTGAGTGTTATTATATGCTTTACTGTTTTTCTGACTTAATTTCATTGCCCCATTTGGAGTTTAAATGTTTTTGGAATATAACCTATTGTTTCTTAAGTCTCTTAAGAGCTCAGGTGCTAACATACTATTCAATTTGGTTTTGGGTTTTTCCTTGTAACCATCTAAATTTTTGTTTGTCTTATGAATATTTCAAATAAGTTGCCAGGTACTTCTACATGGTGGAAGGAGGATAGTCCTGATGATGTGTTTATGAGCTTATTTTCTTCCTCAGCTCTAGGACTGGGTGATGTGATTGGAAACTTTGAGGTGGGAAAAGAATTTGATGCACTGTTAATCAACACGAAGGCTTCAGATAGCCCTTTTGACTTGTTCTCTGCTGATGATTTTGAGGTAATCAGAACCGGATTGATGATCCAAACATTAGTGGAAGTGATGTGGTGAAGGTCCATGATACAGAGAGAAAAAGTCTCTTGAGAGTGATTCTGGTGACAGGAATTGGGTGTACTACACCCCTGCTGTCTGTGCTTCAGCCTAGATGTTCCATGGGTTTTTTTCTTCAGAATCTTGCTGACCCCAGTGACAGTTCCAAAACACCATGAGCAAAAATGCATGTAATATTTTAATGCATGTTTTATTAGCCCAAGATGAAAATTATAGTTATGTATTTGCAGTGACAAATGGCAGCCAAGAATAAGCAATTTATTTTTAGTCAATACTTAGAGTGCAGACTGAAAAATGGTAGCCTGTTCCCAGAAAAAGGTTAGGTTGCCTTTTCTACATTGCTGTTACAAAATGAAGCAAGAACTCAAGATGGCTAATTTGAGTTAAAAGCATAGTTTTTATGTTAACATTAAAGCAGTGCTGGTTTTATGGTATGGAAACCTCTTCTCATTCAAAATCTTCTCTGACTAAAAAAGATAGTGAAGAGCAGTTGCTAGAGCTTATAGATGTGGTCAGACTGCCTGGAAACAATTCCAATTCTGTAAAAAGAATTATTTAAGTTTAAATCTAAACCTTTTAAGCTGTTATTGTTATTAGCATTTTGCAATTTACAAAAAGTTTAAAATTTGCCTTGTTTTCAAAAAGTAAATTATGTATATTAGGTTTTGATTTCACTGTTACTAGGAATATTTAGGTGAAGTGTTATTATCAGTTCTTTCAAGCTTTAAATTATTATGATCGGGGACAGCACATATTGCTTTCTGAATTTGTTTTCTCCCATTTCTTTAAAGGACACTCTCCAGAAGTTCCTGTATCTAGGTATGTTTTGATTTTCAGCTCAAGTTGAATTCTCATTTCCTATATCAAATGTCTAAATTAAATGTTGGGGTTAATAATAAATTTATTTTTACATTACTAAGTATACATTTGTTTGCAGTAATTAAATATATTTATTCAACTGTTCTATGAACATTAACATGTCCCAAATAATTAGCATTAATATTTGGCATTAATAAATAAAATCTGGTTTATAATTGCTTGTAAACATGTCTGGGCAGTGTCCGGACCAGGGGTGCACTGCTGCTGTGTTGTGATGTTGAGGTGCCTGGTGCCAGCTGTGGCCACAGCTGTGTCGTGCTGTAATGAGACTTTTGCCTTTCTGAGGAGCTGTCTGGGTCACACCAGCTTTCTTGATGGCTGGCTCCCAAGCCAGTTCAAATACTGTGCAAAAAATAATTTTCTGTACAGATACATAATATTTTTGGGGTTTGGATCTACTGAATATACAGAAAATCCATGACACTATTGCAACAGCTGAATGCTATGTTTATTTTTTTTTTAAAGCACATGGGTTGCTAAAATATTTATTAATTTTTGTGGTAGCCCTGACTATTTCTCTCCAAATGGACTTTCTTAGTTCTAGGAAATGGTTGCTGCAAATAATGTGTTCCAAAACTGTTTTTGTAGACTGCATAATTGTTATTAATTAAATCAGTGTTTGTATTTATGAACAAATCTCAGTTTTGACCATGTTATTTCAGGTGATGATCGGAATATTTCTGAAGTGTATGTGGCTGGAAAGCAAGTGGTTCCTTTTTCAAGCTCTGTATAAATCAGTTTTCTGTTTGCAAAATACTCTGCTGATCATTCTGCATCTGATTTGGAAAAGATTGATTAAGCACAGTGCCTGATCATCAAGAATGACACCTCACTTTTGGATAATGTTAAAAACTTGCATACATTGAAAATTTCGTTAGACCTTTCAAGAATTACTATACCAAAATTTTCATGGTTCTAGAGGGAATGGATATTTAAATTTCTTTGTAAAAATAGCATTTGTGCATTGATTGGGGATTTGATAAATAACTTATTTATAGAGGGCACATGTGGCTCTGTTTAATAATAGTATAGGAAGCATTATGTGGTACAATGAGATGCTCATTTTCTATAGGAATTTAAAAAAAACAAAAACCCATTGCTTGTAAATTGATTTTGCAGGTAATGAATATCGTGGAAGAATGCAATTTCCATAATATTATTATCAAGTACGGAAAAATCAGTGTCCTTTTGGAGAATGTAGTTTTCAGTTTTTCCTATGAGCTTAAAAAATCTTAATTTAAAACATTATTTTTTATGAAGAGTTAAGTTAGAAGTCTGTGTTTATAAATAAATAAGGGTCATTACTTAATAGTTTAGGATTGTCATTTGTAGTCAGACACTCCATTGAATTACCTTGATCTGAGTGATGGCTGAATTAAACTTCTTTTAAATTAGAAGCAGGCACTAAGATATTTCTACAGGCTACATGAAGGCAAACAAATTAAGAGGTATTTCTGGACTGGAGGGAGTGCTTCATTAAGTTGAGAATCCTGCAGAATCTTCCCAAACTCATTTGCTCCCGACCATTCAGACAGGATGATATGATGATGTCCCTTCTCCTTTCTGTAAGGGAAGTGAGTGCATTTAAAAATTTCCAAGAGAAATGGTCTCTTTCTGGCCATTACCACCTTTGACTTGAGGTGAAAATCATCACTGAAAAAAGCAGCTCAGCTTATTGTGCTCTTTGTGTATTTCAATGTGGCAGCCATAATTCCAGCCCTGTAGAATTCCAGGATTCCAGGTAAAAAAATATGCCTTTTTGTTGTGGAAATCTGTGTGACTTTCTTTCCTAAAATGGCATATTTCCCTGCTTTTGATTTCTTCTTGTTGCTCTATTATGTTTGTGCAACATAAAGAATGTCCGCTTTAATTTCAGGGTCATTAATGACCAATATTGTATTTAGATACTGTAAACATGTATTGAATATGGGTTTAAGGCTTAATTCAAGCTTCTTTGATTTTACTAAGCCTTGTTTCGCACTTTTATCTCACTGCCTGGGGATATAGGACTTACCTCTGTTTACAAAGCAAGGGAGGTCACTGCACCAAAGTTTCACTACACGTCTACTTCAGAGAGAGTGCTTGTCCAACGCCACTCATAATGTTCTGATTTTAAAAGAATTATCAGAGCTTATGTATTGTTATGATTCTGCCTACATGAGACAGCATAGCGTCAAGGGGAAGTGTAACAGCTAATTTGGGCACTATAGCAGTACAGTCTGTTCAATGTGGTTTCCTTGCCGAAGCTGAGGGGCTGTACCAAACAGCAGGGAATAAGCAGGAGGTGTCTCGCAGGCATCACCTGGGTGCAGCCGCTCAGCCAGAGCTGGCTCAGGCATCCTCCTGGCTGCTGCACCGTGCCGCTGCGCGCCGAGGTACAGCCTTCCTACCCGTTATGTTCCAAGACTTCTAAGGCTTTAGGAGTCAAGATCTAAGGATTAAGATTTACACATTCCATCAGGGTGTTTTCTCAACCATTATGTTTTGCATGTGTCCCAGTCACCTACCCAGTAGCACACTTGTTCAGCAAATAACAACCTTCATCTCTTTAACTTGCTTTCTTGATTCAGGGACATCTATTCTCATGAATTTTGACATGAATTTAATTGACCAAATTTCACATTTCAAAACCAAAGAACTGTGAGACACATGTTTTAATCCTCCCAGTTACTGTTTGAAACTATTTTTAGGGAATTACATGGTTTCCAGCTTTGGCTTTCCTGTGATGAAGAAAGATCACATAGGCTTGTGTACAATGTATGCTAGTGCCCTACTTCTTTGTCTCCAGAGCTATGAATTAAATCAATGCTTTTATTTTAGTGGTAGCCTTAACTGTCTCTGACTTAATTGTTTTCCCATTATTTTGTGGTGTTTTTAAGAAAGGGATTCAGCATTTTTAAAATACTTTTAGGGGGTGGACAGGTTGCTTATTTGCAATATGAGAACACACTAAAACTTTAACAAGTTCAGGACTGCACTGCTGGGCCAATTACAAAGGGACTCAAGAATAACTGCTGCCAGTGAGCTTTGTATCTGAATTTGTACTGGGTCATGAATAGTTTGACTCTTGTTAAATTCAGGGACAAGGTAGGAACTCCTCTTTTGATTATAGCTTTTCTAATGTCTAGTATCCAGACATTACCCAGACATAGCAATGGAAAATCATCTTTTTAAGAATCTCAGCTGGAGGATGAATTCTGCCTGCAGGTAGTGCCATGGGCTACCTGCAGCACTCTGCAATGCCCAGGACAGGAGGAATGAAGCCCAAGATGGATAGCATTACATTAAATGCTGAGGTGTTTAGGGGTAAAGGAAAGAAGCCTGAATTTGATGTTTGAGGAGGCCAGTGGAGGAGTTAATATAAAAATAAACTGAGGGTCTTTTTACAACAACATTTAAATAGATCTGAATGGAGAAAAAATGTGCTGCCAGAAGAGCTAAGTGGGATCATTGAAGGCAGTCCCAAAAGTTTGTTCAGTGGAAGATGGCTTATGCACAAACATTTATAGGTTTTAGGTCATACAAAGAATGTAATAGTCAGAATTCTCAGAAGTAATTTAGGGAAAATTACTCACTAAAGATCACTAAGGATCCCACTGTAAGTCTTGGTCCTTGAGACTCTGTGCCTGTGTGTAGATTGCCAAGATGTTTGTTTTGGTGGGGGAGGATCACTGGTAAAAGCTGTTACTGCTGCGACTTACACATGTATGCTACATGCATCTCAAGACTACATACATTCTGCTTCCTTGGATAGATGCCCCTACTGCTCAGCACTTTGAAGCAGGCGAAGTAATGGGTTCAGATTCTTAGTGTCTGTTTTAGAGACTGGAGTGTATTTGGAAGGCAGCTGAGCCTCCAGTGTAGTTTTCTCCAAGATAAGCTTAATTCTTGTATACCAAAACCACCCTGCAAACTGAACCAAAGTTCAGCAAAGGAGAATGATTGGTAATTTAGAACAGCACTATTGTCTCAAACCAAAATGCTAGTAGAGGCTAGAACTTGAACTATTCCCCGTCTGTCCTCATGCCGTCACAGAACTTAGTAGCTGAACACAAATTGAAGCAACCCTCTTCTACCTTCCTCCCTTTTCCCCAACACCACTCCCCAGCAAAAAACCAAACAACCAAAAAAACCCCAAACGTTAAAATGAAACAACTGAACATTAAGAGGATATGAGTATGTGGAAGAAAATATAGGAATAATTTTCATCAGTGTAAATTGAAAAATGTGACAGTATAAATTGATTAACTAAAGATGAAACCTCTGGAAAAATGTACATGCAACAGATTCCAGATGTCTCTCCCCACAAGTTTTCTTACCAGATGGTGGATGAGATCTTTCTTTCTTAATATGACTTTATGTTCAATGGTAGCACGCCATTCATACAAAGGAAAAAAAAAAGGGTATTTGTGTAGAGCTTGCTTGTTGGGACAATATGCTTACTGTGTTCTATGGTCAGATGAGCACTTATTTATTGTAAATAGAATGCATTTGAATTACTGTTATATGTTGGTCTCATTGTGTCACTTTAGGTTTTGAAATACTAGTAAGAATTGCCTATGCATTATGCAGCATTATTTGAATTATTCATGTGTGGCAAGTGGAGTTCTGCACTTTAAAATGTTGCCTTGGCCTAATGTTTATATTTATGCTGTATTTTTGTGTAATTCTAAGGTTTTGTAGGGGGAAAAAGTGTATTTTTTCACTGCACTGAAATTTTTTCAGTAAGGTTGCTTTCTTTTAGAAAAGGGAACTTTAAAATTACCCTGTCTAAAATTCTGTGCCTGATTATACACTCATGAATGGAAAAAAATACAATAGTTTTATGAACTTGAATAGTAACATTTAATGTAAAAAGAAGTGCAGAGAAATAGAATTTTTTCAAATATCATAATACAATGCAAATTAGCAAAAGGTATTACTGTTGAATAGCTACAGTTAAATTGAGCAAAAGAGAACATAGTTACCATTGATTATTCATTTTAAAAGAATACTTAAGCCCAAGTTGTTTAAAAGGATATTCCAGTTTTAAAAGGAAAAGATATTAATGTCATTACTCAGATGAGCTGTTTAAAAATATGATTTTAAGGACTTCCAGGAACAATCCATAACAGATGGTAAGGTGGACATCTTTTAAAGTTCTGGATTTTCAATAAAAAACTATGCTGCTTTAATTGCAACCTGGTATGTGTTAGGAGTCAACTCACCTGTAAAATGATCGTGTAGAGTCTCTGAATAAGCTGAGCTGGAAGGGATCCTCAAGGATCATCATGTCCATCTCCTGGCTCTACATAGCACTGTCCCCAAGGACAGGTAAAAAATTAATTTCAGAAGACATTTGAAAATACTGATAGCAGAATACAAAATACTGCAAAGTAGAAAGGAGATTGATCTGAGGAACTTGTAAAAAGAAGATGACATGTCAGTGAAATTTTAGGTGTGAAATGCTCAGAAAAAAAGATACATTCCCAAGAAATGTTCTATTAGATCATGGATGTCATTCCTTCTAAAAGTCATGGAGGTCCAAAACCTGACCAAGTTTCCAAAGCAGTTGCTTACATGCTTAATAATACAAGCCCAGATACTTGCTCATGGCATAATTATGTAACCCTCCACAGCTTCTAGAGCTCAGATCCAAGATTTAAATCAAAATTACCTGTAATGGCTGCAGAGGAAACATAATGTAAGGGCATTTTATGTTTCATCTACACTTGTCCTGTGAAACATTTAGCACTGGCCAGAGCGGAGGCTGAATTAGTCTGGTCCCAGTGAAGAATTTCTGTTTTGCATGCCCCAGACATCATTCCCTGTCATGTGCCTGGTGATGCACTGATAACTGAGTGTAGCACAGACATACAGTCTGGTGTGACTGAAATGACTGAATACAAAGTGTTTTAAATATCAGATTATTTAGAAATTAAGCTCATTGCTGAGACCAATGTGTACATTTTAAATCACACAATCATATATCTATTATTAACTTCTAGATAGTAGGACTTGGGCTTAAATCTATGGGGTTTAACTTCAGTGGAAATTCTTTCTTAGAAAATGCCCAGAATTAGTGTTTTCCAGCCAAAAGGTTCTTTGTGGCTTCTGCAGAGGCAGTCACTTCTGCAGAAGTGAATGCTTTAGTCATGCCTAGACCATCACTTCTTTATCCAGTCATGAGTCATAAGTGTGTATTGGCTTTAATTCTGGTATTGGTTTGTGGTTTCTCACAGGCTGAGTCTTAGTTTGGAAATAACTGGTAAAGGAGTGGAGCTGGGAGAAGGATGAGGATAAAGGGCAAATCTTACAGCAGTCTGCCTAATGATTCTACACAAAATATCTGTCCCACCCAGGTAGATGTTGTTACGTTTGCACAGCTCTTAGACTCAATGATTTGGCTTAATGACTTGAGTCAACTCATAAATGAAACTCAGTCAAGGCTAGGACATAAACTGTGAGCAGCTGACAAACAAACACAGTTGTTTTACTGTGATCTGCATTTAAGCCATCAGCAGCTTTCCTTGGCCAAGTGCTCCTAGGCATATTTAGATACAAAAAACTGGAGATAAGACAGCAGGAGAAGGGGCCAGTTTTGGTAAGAACTGAAGGCTGTAAACAGCATCCTGTCTGGCCTTGTGGCTTTGGAGCTGGGTTGTGTACTCCTCTAACAACTTTTAGTGATGAAGTTTTTAGGAAGTATTAGCATGTGCTCCTTACCTGAGGATGTTTGCATCCTTTGCTTCAAGACAAATTTTGTTTCCCCGAAGGAGACTTCACATCTTGCTGGAGTAAGTTTTTCTGATGCTGATTTGTCTGCTTGTCACCTGTTGTGCGTAAGCTCTGGTTCATGTGAAAATGCCTAACTGGAGTTAATGTTGAATTTATCCTTCCTTTTGTACTTGTGCAGTATCAAGGAAGAACAATGTATTAGGAGAAATGGTATATGCGATTTCCACTGTTCTGCTTGGTTTTGGTCATGCTAAATAGGAAGTCATGTACTGCTGAAACAAAATAAAGAGGCCTTGTGTTTACACCAACTCTTGTCTCTTTCTGTACTTGACTTTTGAGAAGAGAGGGAAAGCTGACAAGCTGACTAATAAACAATGAAGGCAAAAACACACAGCAACATGTCCTATTCTCTGGGGAACCTGGGCAACCCCCCATCACAGGAATTTGCAAACTCTGTTTAGTATGTAGAATTTTATTTTAGGGGATCTTTTTTTTTTTCTAATTCAAAGCTCTTACAGATTTTGATGTATCTTTATTACCAGATTTGTTGGCTTCATAAATCAAAGCCAGTGTTCAGTAGCCACTTTATATTTTTTTGTGTTGAAGTATACTGTCTTGAAATGCTTGCTTCTTAAGCTTAACGAAAGGGTCACATCTCCTTTAATATGTATTTCTTCACTTTCTTAATTTTCAAAGCTCAGGCATAAAAATCTCGCTAGTTTAAGCAGCTGTGAAACTCAGAAGTGGATTTGCTTGAAAGAAAAACTGCCATAAGAGGACCACTAATTACATACTGAAATGTTGAGAATTATGTGCAAGCTGTTATCAACTTGCTCAAAATTTTGTGCACAAGAAATAAAGCTGTTCTGTATTTTCATCAACCAGTTGAGAATAGAAAGTGGAAGAAAACTTATTTATAGATTACTGTTCTTACTAGGAGGGTCCATTTAGGCTTTTGGCATGGGAATTCTGCTACTTGACGCTTTACTTTTGGAAAACACCATTAAGAAATGCTTTTGCAGTATTTCACTGGAGTGCTCTGTTGAGACTTACCTGTTTAAATTAGTTTGAGTCCCAGATGAGAGCAGAGTTCTTATGGTGTAGAGGGTTTCCAAGACAATTAGAAAATCTGAGAGCCTTTGGTATGCTCTCAGTAAGTCTCAGTATATAATTGTCTGTTTTACTACAATGAGTTGTTGCAGGCACAGTTTGTACAAGTGAAAACAGTTTGCAATCCCCCCAAAAAGTCACTGAATAATCCTGAATACTTCATCAATGGAAATTTATCAGTCTTCTCCAATGACTGTAAAGCAGAAAACAAAAATTCTCTTGGTTTGAGATCAGATACTGGATCGTTTATATTTCAGCTTAATGGATTTGCAGTTAATGACTAGAGAGCATAGTTAAAATGCAAAATGCAGGTTGCTTGCCCTATGCTTGTAATCTGTAATCAGCTCTTCCTTTCAAAGCATGTGACTGCATTCTTGCATTATTTTTAATTAAATATGGCCTTTAGGAATTACCTTAATAATATGGCATAAAGGCTGCAAGATCAAGCTGAAATACAAGCAATGCCTTGTCTTTTATAATTGGTGTTATAATTGGTGTTAACATCTCAAAATATAGAAGTATTTTTCTTCTTAGAAACAAAAAGTATTAAGCAGTAGGTACATTTTCATCTCAGCCCCTGCTTGAACCAATCTCACCTCCCAGCAAAATGGTGAAAGTTCACAGCTGTCAGAAACCCAACTTCTCTGATAATTCATACAGAATATCAATTCCAGCTAGCTAAGGGCAGCATTAATACTCACTGTACTCTCTTAGTGCTCTAAAAATTATTCCCTGGCCTTTTATTTTTGAGGAGGAATCCCATTTTTGTATTTTTATGACTTGTGAAACAGCAAACAGATGTGCCACATGAGATCAGCAAAGAGGTTTGCTGCTGAGTGAGAAAAAAATAGATGTACTTTTAGGGTGGTGAAAAAAGAAGTACACAGTTGTAACAAATGAGTGATATAGATCACCTGAGGAATCACTGTCAAAGGTATTAAAAAAGCAATTTTAATATACATTTCCAGAAGCACACTTAACAAGTTCAATGACAACATTTTCTGCATTACCTACTACATGGATGAAATAACAAAGTAGAATCAGACAATAAATTACTTAGAATTATTTACTGGGAGACATAGAAATGGTAAGGATGCAAAAGGGGAGACCATCCTTCTGAGACATGAGATTCAGGATGGACACCCTCATTTTCTAAACTATCAGCAGATATTTGCCAAGTTGAAATCCCCCATGAGTGCAAGGGTGGCACTTCTGAAATTTCTCCCAGCCTACTGTAGAATGAATCATCTGCCTCTTCATCCTGGCTAGCTGGTCTGTAACAGACTCCTACCAGGACATCCACTCTGCTGACATTCCCCTGATCTTTACTCACTCAACCTGTTATCATCATCATGGGTTTCAATCTAATCTAAACAATCCCTCACAAATAGTGCTACCCCACTGCCTCTCCTGCTTCTCTTACCTCTTCTAAAGTTTTAAGAACTTTAGAGAACCCAAGAAAGAAAGTAAAATTGCACCCATTGCAAAAAAAACCCCAAAACCCTCTTTTCTCCTGGCAAATGTTATCTGTTAATTCTGCTGGGAATATTAAACTGTTCTGGGACTAAATAGGCATCAAGCTGGCTTGAGCAACCCTTTTTCCTACATAATACCCATTCTGTGGATTCACAGAAGCCTTCAGCCATCCCACTGATGACCCTGGCCTGAACCTGAAGATAGAAATATCTTCAGACAAAAAAAATCCCATAACTTTCTGGTGTATTAAAAACTATTGATTTGGGGAAAAAATACAGCAAAAGGAGGAGGCACGAGAATGCCAGAGTTGTTAACAGTATTAAATTCTTCACATGGACAGCAGGTGCATCTCTATGGCACACCACCCTCTCCTCGCTGTGTGTCCTCTGCAGGATTAGCTACAGTATTCATTACCATTCAAGGATGTGAAAACCTTGAGCTGGGTCAGACCAAAGGTCTGTCTAGCAAAACTGTCATGTTTCTAGTAAGGTTGATGAATAATAAGGATATGCAGGAGGAAAGAAGGACACAAAACAAGCCTCCCCTTACAGACTGCCCTGCTTTCAGCTAGTAAATTGTATACGTTTATAGAGAACTTTGCTTTAGCTCTTTAGTTTGTTTAGTCCCTTTCTGGTACATTCATATTTTTTTGCTTTTTGCAAAATGCAGCAACTGTGAATCCCATCTGATCATTTTTTGTTGGGTGGCACATTCCTTTCTTCTGTTTGTTTTACTGGCTACATAAACACATCCCTGCTTCCCAGACTGCAAGGTCTTGTGAATAGTATAGTGTCACCTTTTCAACTAGCATCACTGTCCTTAAAAATTATTTTAAGAAAGACTAAGAATGTTTTCTGCTTCTTATATTTTTGGTTCAATTTATCGAATGGGTGTGTTATGTATTTTTTTTGTAATTTGGTTTGACAGAGAAAAATTAGGGCTAGACAGTAAATTACACATGAAGTAGACTGGACTGGTTTCTCAGAAAACAAGGAGAAGCTGTCAGTACTGCCTATCGCCCAAATAACACACAGACCATTTCATAGACCTGGAAGCAGCAGAACATTTTGAATGCTTTGCAAGGGCCAAACAGGCTGGCATTTGCCTGAAGCCATTAAAATATTTTGTTTCTCCATGCTAAGGCTTGCTGAGCTGGGAATTACTGGAAGATGGTGTCAGATTCACCAGACTTTAAAAGAAATATTGTGCAGCTAACATCCTTCACTTGATCCAAGACTGATTTCAAGCATCAAGCTTCCACCTTTTCCTCCTTCCTTTGTGAATGTGCTGTGTGGTATGACAGCCACTATGAAGAGGATAGCAGAGACTGTATGACAGGGCAGAGAAGGAAGGGAGAGAAGGAAGAGAAGGGTATTTCCTTCCCCATTAACCCTTGTGTATGTAAAAGCTAATTTCTTTAATAGATCCTTTCTGACAGAAATGGAGTACAATATGGAATGTTGCACTTCTAGTAAGGACATGAGAGGAGCTGGTGGTGTCGCCCTGAGTGTGGCATCTCCTTTTGGAGATGTTTTGTGTATTCCTGCTGATGTGCATTCTGTAACCACTAACAGAACTTTTTAATTTGCGTCCAACTGCAGACATACTTGAGGTCTGATCTCAACAAATTTAAGTCTTGACTGCAACAGGATGCACATACAAAGTGCAAAATATCGCTTTGGATCATGATTCACACTCACTCCTGTTATTCACATGAGCTCTCAGAACCTTTTTTTTAAACTGCCCTGATAAAATTCAGATACTGGGGTGACAAATGGGGGACGGATGGACAAACTACACGATATCACTAATAGCAAGGATAAGAATTAGTAAGTTGTTAAACCCAAGATTACCATGTAACTTCAACATCCTCATAGATGCAAAAACCATGAAAATTTCAACTAGCCTTCTCTTGCAATAAGGTCACAAAACCAAGGTATTAGACATTACCAATAATTACTTCATAATAACCACAACAGCCTTTTAAAAACACTTACTCATCCTTTTACTCTAGAGGGCAGGAACAACAGCATGGCCCCACTTTTAATGTCTTTGGCAGAGACCAGGACAGACCAGATGGACACTGTGGCTTCTCTGCCAAGATAGGGGGCACAACGATGAGCACCTCCATTGGCCTCAAGGATTCATCTGCCAGCTCTGCCCCTCTCTGGAGCAAAGGAAGCCAAGGCTGACTGCTTGCGAAGGTCTAATCAACTTGCTCTGATAGACGTTGAAAGATTGCATTGCACTGCTCCCCTCTGAAATGTTTGTGCTGCTTTGGAAGAGTTAAACCTTTGTACAGGCATAATTTAACCAAACACTTCTAGTCTCAACAGCATGTGAAGATTTTTATAAGGAGGATTCTTGCCTGTTCAGTAAACACTACACCCTGGTTACTAAAAATGTCTATAGAATTGTTTTGAGTGGTTCTGTTACTTAGGCAGGCTTCTGAAGTTTTAATTGTGATATTAGTGCTAAATGCACTGAGCTGTCTTTTGCATTTACTGGAATTGTGACTCACTGAGCTGACTAAATTGCTACATGTTTAACTTCAGAACAAGGCAGAGCTAATGTATTTCAAAGTTGTATTTGATAAGCAGATTATTCTACTGCCTACAAAAATCCATACTAATAATTACACAAAATTAAGTATGAGAATTTATTGTGTGGTGTCTCTCGCTGATACAAATAGCTCTCACACTCTTCTCTGCATTTTGCTTGG